CGAACTGCCAACTTTGTGGTCATGTGTGCTGCCATTTACTTCCCTTGCTAAAATGTGTTGAAAAAACCTTAATATTGTAGTATAAGTACAAGAGGTAGAAAAAAGTTGAATACAAGCACCACAGGTTCTTAACATTCTGGCATTTAAACGGTTTCTGTGGCTGAAAGCATGCAGGAGTAGTAGTCAATAGAAAAACGTAAAAAAATGGAAAAATGATAAAGACTACAACATTCAGTAGTAGAGTATGAATGCAGAGTATGAATGCTTCAGCATGAAGCACTGCATGAACACTTACAAAATATGCACTTTATTTAAAGGCAAACAAAGCTGTAACTATCCCATGACCCAAGGACAAAGAAAAACAAGGTTTAGAATAAGCTGTGCACAACTGGGGGCATGTCCAAAATCCTCCATGTACATATTGAATAGTCAAAGTTGGAATTGCCCAGCTTGAACTAGCGTATCTCAAACCTGCACAGCTTAACATATTCTGAATTGATGGAACTATTGTAGCATCAATACTTGCCATAGATGTGAAATAAACTGCAACAATGGCAGTAGATTGTGTTGTGAGACACAAGTGTTTCTTTTTTTATTATCTTTTTCGTACCCAGGGAATAGAAATAAGCAAACATACACTACATAGTGGCACAGTGATGGTAGCATAACTGGACAAGACCAGCGCTTGGACTTTTTTGTTTTGTTCACAGACTCCCAGACAAATGACGCAGACACATGGGCTTTGACTCATTCTTAATTTCCTGTTGCCCTCTCTTCTCTGTGTTTCCCACCATCTCTAAAAGCCTCTGACTGTCAGTCTCTCCCATGCTTTATCACAGTGTGCACAACCTTATTCTGCCTTCCCAGATTGCTGTTTAATAGGAGCCTTCCTCCCTGGTGAACAGTGATAAGCTAATGGTTAGGGAATTGCTCACCGTTTAGCAGCCGTGTCTGTCAAAAGGAAAATGGAAAAGAAGTGATGGAGGACTCTTATGGGGTTAAAGTGAACAGTTAGTTTTCCTAATTTTCCATTCACTCATAGATTAATGTTTGGGTGGGCGGGTGGTTCATGCATGTGTGTAATTTTAGGAGTGGCCAGATAATTGGCTTCCTACCCCTGTGCTGATTGGCCTCACAGAAGGTGGCTGATTAATGCAGAAAACCTAGTCTGTCAATTCAAATATATTTGAATAGATCATTTAATATTGTGCAAATCTGATTCATGTGTGGTTTTTGTTTCATCTATGCGTGCCAACTGTGCAATCAGTTTAAACTCTGAACTGAACTGTATAATTGTTGTTGTGACCGTGTTTTTCAACTTTATCATGCATTCCATGAAGTTTATTCAGATTGCAGGAACAATTCGGGAACAACAGAGGCAGGAAATGGTGAGGACAGGTTGGAATTTTCTTAATGCTAGAGTAAATCTCTAATGTATGTGGAGTGGTCTTTGGTGGTATCCAATAAAAACATGATTTTTTTTTGTCAACTCTAAGTGCAGAAAATGAGATGTGTCTTGTATTATAAGCATAGAAACGGTACGTCTCAGGCATTAGCATTAGCTGCCCTCTCTGTTGTGGCCCTTTAGATGCCACTGTCGGGAGCTTCCCACTAACATAGCTCCTCTCCAGACTGAGCTGTCCTCCTCTGCTGATTACTCTAGTATCCTCTGGCTATGAGACTAAAAGTGTGTGTCTGTGTGTGTGTGAGCGAGAGAGAGAGAGAGGGAGATAATGAAAGACTGCAAGTGTAAAAGCAGGAGAGCCATTCCTGGTTGTTAAGGATACATTTCCTCTACACTTTGATCGAGAGTGGCTTACTGTCGCTCTCACCCAAATAGACACACACACACAAACACACACTGGCTTACTCTAGCTTACTGAGTCAAATGGAAGAGACTACTCTGTTTGTAACATTAGCCAACTGTTAGGTTACCCAACTGGAAATGTAATGCTCTGTTACAGGTGACCTTTCCTTCTCTGTTACGGATATCTGTCCAGGAGTGTGTGTGTATGTGTGTGTATTTAAAACTGTGGGTGGGTGTGTGTCCAGTATGCAGATGTTGTGAGTGTATACTAAAAATTCACTCTCTGAAGAGGCTGTTTCTGGCTGCCTGCATCTGGAAGCCTCACACCTCGCGTCCATATGTGTGAGTGCATTGTGTTTTGTTCTTTGCACAGATGTCCTTCAAATGGCATGCAGCAAGCAGATTGCAATGGAGGAAATGGCCACAGGCCCATAATACACATTCACACTAAAACCAGTCCAGGCATTTAAATGGCCGTCCCAGGGGCTGACAGATTGCAGCTGACCCCTGATAACACTGTATGCAGTTCCTCCATCAAGCTTCCCTCTCACTGTTCCCATCCTCCCTCCTTTTTTTCTTCTCTGCTTCTTTGCGGTCTCATCTTCACTTTCTCATTCAATTTATTTTTCCTCTCACACAGACTTGCATACATACAAGTGCCCTCCTCCAAGTCCAAATTCTCTCCCTTGGTGTCTGTGGATTGTGAGTCACACCAGGACCAGTGAGAGGGGGCTGAGAGATGCTCAATGTCACCTCCTCCTCCGATCTGTCCTCTGCTTTCATGTTCGAAGAGGAAAATTGCCTTTAATTGCTCCACTTTAGAGTTGTCCTGGATGAGACAGTTACAGAAACTTGGTTGACACATAATCAGTGAAGTGAATGGTTTCTTGTCATACACAAACTGACTGTAAAATACAGCTGGAAATTGCAGACTGATTAGGGGGGGTTACACAGTGATTAACTCCTACTACAACTACAGTAAATGGAGGTGAAACAGTAGCTTGTAATCATTGAGCCAGTGCAAATCATTCGCTGTAACGATGAAAAGGATGGTAGGATCAATCTTATCGATGGCAGAAGCCTGCCTATAGACTTGCCCTCAGCTGAAACTTTGCCATGTGCATCTTAATGACAGCCTGAGCGACATTAAATCTTTAATCCTGTATTTAAGTGTGTTTACTGCATTTGGGTATGCTGTTGTGCAACATTTCATGATCAGCATTTTAAGGCTTGTCACAATATCAGAATGTGTAAGCTATAAAGCTTTGAAGATTAGACTGAGGCTTAAAACTTACTATTGGACTTATTTTAAGCTTAGTATCAGACTTGTTATTAAACTTCAGTCTTGAATAGGACAAAGAGTTAGATACCCATCAAACACAGTAAGTGGCCATAAATATCAATTTAATTACAACAGCAAAAAAGTCATAATTGTTACGTTTAGGACCTGCTTGCATGTGTGGGTGGGTCTGTATGTGTGTGTGTGTGTGTGTGTCCATCTCTGGGTTTGTGTGCAAATTTGAGTACACCCGTGCAGTAACAGACTGAACAAGACAATGCAAGCAGGGAAGAGAAAAAACGGGAAGGAATGTCTGGTGAGATGGGAATTACAAAGAGGCAGTCACTGCTGGGCCTTTGGGTGGGAAGGTAAACTCAGTGAGATTCAGTTAGGTGCCTCTTGCATGGAGGGAGTAATATAATCAGAATGGAAATTTTACAACCTGCACTCTATCTATAAACAGTGATTAACACAAAGTGCAACCAGTGGCACTAATATCAAATAACAATGGAGATGCTGCAATACAGACTCTGGACTAGTATCCCACATAAACAACAGCACAGGGGCAAACATATATATATATATATATATATATATATATATATATATATATCAATATTTGATTGGAAATAATGCCTCAAAATAAATATATTTGGACTCATTACTCAACATTACATGTGGAAGGTCATAAGATCATTAAATTATATGTGTTCATTTCTGTTTTTCTGAACACATTACTTTTATTTTTATTTTTAATTAATCTCAATGAATATGTTAAATTGACAGTATTTGACACCAAACTTTTTAACCACCCCACTCGAACCGCCCCTGAGCACTAGATCTTTTTTGTATGTTTGTCTGTGTGCTATTGTCTGTGGGTGCATCAGAAGCTTTAATAAATATATTTTTTTTTTATATAAAAATGTTTGACAAGAAATTAGCATTCTGTTGTCTATTGTCTTTAGAAGTCTGACAGAATAATCAAAAACCTTCATTCTTTCCTCTTTCTACCAGAAATATCTCAGTGTGATTTGTTGTGCCTTATTGTACAGGGCGTCCTTGTTCTGTTTTTATTGTCGTGTGCTTGTGTGTCTCACTGCAGATTCATATTTAAGTGTGGGTGTGTGTGTGTGCGACACACGCTTGTGTCTGGAAATAGGTAGAGGAATTTTTCATTGCCAGTCAAAGGGTTGCATCATACATGATCTGCTCTCTTGCAAATAAACATCACCCACATACATTTTGTTCACCTTTTGCATTAATGTGGATGATGTTATTTCCATCTTACGCATTTTGTTCTGATTTCAGCTGCAGCTTGACTGCCATTTTAACCAACTTTGACAGTCCCTGTTTAAATCCTCTCATATGGTATTTGGTTGTGTGTGTGTTTACTCATTCACAAAGCATGTACTTATGGATCCTTTCTACTTCGTTGGTTTCCTGAGTTGACGTTTCTGTGTCTGTGTGTGCGTGTGCACATGTTTTCAAACGCGTGTCAGGAGTGCTCATTAAAATTGTGCAGGAGCTGATGCTGTACTCCTGCTCCACTGCTCGCATTTTGACAGAGTTTTTCACATATTGCCAGGTAATCAGGCTGGCGAACGAACATACAGCCCTGCATCTGCGACTGCCAACAAGCTGGGTTTGAGGTCGTAAAAACAGCCACTGCAACTAATTCATCCTGTCATGTTCATGTTCACTGTATTTTATATAGCAGCAACATAAAAACTATTAATCTCAGTTTTGTTGAGTGCTGACTGAATTGATGGAACCTGTTAATGCTAATGCCTTGTTTGTTGTCCCACTTCTTCTCCTTTTCTCCTCTGTGTTCTCCTTTCTCTATCTCTGCCCCTTTCTTCCTCCACCCCTCTACCATCCTTTCTTCTCCTCTGTCTCCACCTGTCTTCCTGTTAGGGGAGCACCTGCGCATCTGTCCCCAGGGTTACACCTGCTGTACCAGTGACATGGAGGACAAGCTGGCCATTCTGAGCCGCAGGGAGATGGAGGGACTACTCAAAGAAGCTGGCCGGTCTTTACAGACCTCACTCACTGGACAGTACAAGGCCTTCGATGGTGAGTTTGTGTGCTCACAATAAGTGAGTGAGTGAGTGAGAATGAGATAAGAGAACAAACATGAATAGCTGGGTGTATGTGTGTGTGTCTGTGTACTGTAGTTTTTCAACAGTAATCAGCACTCATATACAAGGACCCAGTTTTGAGTGTTTTTTTGTCAGTTTTGATAGTAAATAGTTTTCACTTCACATTTTTGCTCTGGACATACCCAGCCTACACACAAATGCAGACACACAAAGTCTGACAATAAGTGAAAGAGACAAGTTAAAGGTCTTGTATTATACAGTCTGCAGATTGATGCAGAGCATTGATCTACTGTCAAGCTTCAACAGGGGAAGATGGTAATGCCTTGCAGTGTTGTTGTCAGAGTGCCAAGTTGTTTTATTTTTGAATTTTTGAACCAAGTCAGATCCACAAAAAAATTGAAAACAATAAAATGATTAGATTTGGGGGCATTGTGAAGCTGAGGGGTTAAAAATGCTAACCATGTAATCACAATGTCCCAAGTCAGGGTTCCCTGTTGCAAGTCATCTCTCTCTGTCTGTCTCTACTTGAATTTCCCTCGGGATAA